CCTTAACAGCAACCCAGACAAGCTGGGACTCGGGACGGAGGCTTCATCTCTGAGACCGCCACGCGCCGAGCCCGCCTTTAACCTTTGTTCACGAACTGCTGGGTTGCTGTTAAGGAACTTAAATTAAGTTACCATAATGGGTATATATATATAGTAAATAATAAGGTTTCCCCAATAAAGCATGGGTCCCCATCGTGCAGCCCAAGGAAGACGTTTTGCCGAGATTTTGAACATTCTGACTCCAATTTAGGGAGTCCATGTACCAAGAACAATATGACTTACGCCAGGGGGATGTATGGTGGTCATAAATTATAAAAAGTAAGGGTCCCCTATGAGGACTACGTAGAGTTCGTTTTCAGAAGCTCCCATGCTCTGCACTCTACACGACCCGCTGCAGGCAAACTGAGCTGACAAAAATGTACGTGATTGTCACTGGACCCAGGTCAAATACAATGTAGTTGGCTTGTGTCGACTGAGATTTTGGCTACATCAAAGAGCTTTGCTACAGATAGGGTCACTGCACCATAGCGCGGCGGGTTGAAAGAGAATTCTGGTCTGGGAGTTTCTTGAGGACTATACAGGGCTTGCTGTGAGGACTTGCAAAATAGCCTGAGGCTGTCCAGAGACCACTTTTGCTAGTCGCAAAATCAAAAAGACGACCGTTTCATGCATAGAAAGACTCAAAGCTGGGCCGACATGTTTAAGCTGTGATGTGAGCTATAGTCTACACTCCTTGGGGGTTATATAGGGGGACTCTCTAGGGGATATTATAGGGGTTATAAAGGGGGATACTAGGAGTTTAAACTTTAGCTCATGTACTTGCACTTTGTGTTTGCACTCATTCCTGGCCGAATCAGAAGAGCACTAGCAGGGACTGCCCAAGCCACGGCGCACGCGAGAGTTGCTTCATGGGATTCTCTACTACACGACCCCTTAATGTGCCTCCCCATAATAACGGCTAAATGGACCCTATTAAAAACCTCCACTAGGCCTCAGTTGCGGCCGATTTTGGGGAGGGAAGCAATGGGTAATGGGGGGCGGGGGGGGGCGGGGGTAGCATAGGATCCCGCAATTACATTATGAATCTTCCAGTGCCGCCAAGCTCTAACGCTGAAAGGGCACTTGCTACCAAGCAATATAGACCTAATGGCATGAACAACCCTACCGTTGGCACCTGAAATCTTCAAGGAAAAGGAGCTTCTCATATGTCATGGGCTCCAACTGCACCAAACGGCCTTTTACCCGGGAGCAATGGATGATCCAATCGCATCAGGCTTGATTGCTACTTTTTGCTGCGTGAGAGTGCACCATGAGCCTTTGTGGGTCTCTCAAAGGGACATTAGATGCAATGCTTGGGCAAAAGGATGACGCTATGAGGAGCCAGGCATTGGTCCCTGACTCCTTGCAGTCAAGCCTGGATGTGATGCTATTTCTTGGCACGCGCTAGCACATTGCTTGTGAGACGTGTGGAGCACGTTCAACAACCCTGCTTTGCAGGATTTGATGCGCGACTTTTGCGCAAGACTGTGTACGCTGTGCGCGAATTTTGCGCAACATGTCAAGATGGGGGATTCATGGCTTCTTTGCAGCTGTTGGCGTGGTAGTATCAGCTGCATTCATATGTACAAATCACCTTTGTCGAAGTGGCCACTTCCGATGAGTATCATGCAACCGCTAACCGCTAACGGATGCAAATTGTGCTCTTGACATCTTAACGAGATCCCGACCGTTTAACGCTTGCAATTAACACATCTGAAAAATGCGCAAGCATTCGAGGTCAGTACTTTCCAGGTCCTTGTCCTGGGGAGCAGGATTAAAAACATGTACGGTAGTGGGTCAACATCATGGGAAGTGACCATTATGCACGCCGCAGACTAGCTCACTGCGGGCGCACGCCTACGCGCTTCCCGAGATTTAACGGAAACCGCGGAGTCCTTGGAATTGTTTCGGGACTCAGGAAGAGGAGGAAGTGAAAGGACTTCATCCACAGAATGGTCCACTGAAAGCCTCTCAGAATTCTCTCTGCGGGCCTCCAGCACCTCTCTAGCCTCAGGGGTTGGCCCAGGGCCCATTGTTGTGCACACGCCCGGTGTGACCACCAAGGTCCTTGCTGACTCGAGAGCTGTGGGGCCAGTGATGGCTCCAGTGGTGCTGGGCCGCTTCACATCATCATACATACAATTGGCAGGTAAGCCGCGTTGTCGCCACCCGGGACCCCCCGAGGCAAAGGGCCGCCGTTCCCCTGGGCTTACCTCTCGAGGCGTTTGAGCCTTGGCCCGGCGCAAGTTGGGCATGGGCTGGCTTTCCTTTTCCTGCTTGGCTCGGGCGGTGCGTGGAGGGCTGTAGTTGACATCGTGGTCAGGGATCTGCGTAGATTGTAGAGCTATCGTGGTGAGTGCTGAAGGCTCCCACTCTGAGGGTCGCTGCCGGTGAGTGATCCAGTGCATAACAGAGCGAAGATGCACCAAGAGCTCCACGGTGTGCTCGTGTCTTGAGATCGCACTTGTGCCCACCCCGCCTCGGGGCTTCAGGCAGATTTTGCCCAAACAAAACACTCCTTGTGCAAGGCACTCCAACTGCTGCTGAAGCAGTTCCGTCAGCGTGGAGGCACCCAGTCCCGCACCCTGCATCAAGTCCGTAAGCTGCGCCTGAAGGCTTTGCAACTGATCTGATTGATCCATGAGATGCTCCTCCAGCTCCAATGGGTCTACTCCTGCGTTGATGCCCAGAAGGTTTCGGAGAGGGTCATTTCGGACGCTGTCGTCCGACGCCTCTTCGTCAGCAGGCTCAGAGCCTGCCGCAAAGGAGTGTCCCTTCATCTAAGCTGAGTGAAAACTGTCCACGTTTAAGTTTCTTCCAACGCAACCTGTCACAGTGTTGAAATATGAGCACTTGACTGGGTGAACTGCTGGTATCTGGCGTGGGCATTCGTGGTGGAATGGTGGAAGTCAAGAAATTACAAAACTCGCTGGGTTACACTGAAATGGCCTCACGCACAGCACGACTATTATGAGAGAGGTAGAACGTTTACGACATGAATGCAGATCCTTCAAAAGCACTGCCACTTTTGGTGCTGCTGCTACTACTTACTGCTATACTACTGCTGCCGCTTCTCCTGCTACGTCTACTGCTACTACGAGCACTAGCACTGCCACTACCACTAATATCACTATCGTCACTGCTGCTTCCAGTGCTACCGCACTGCCACTGACATCACCACCATGACCAGTACCACTGGTACTCCCATGATTGCCACCATTTCAACCCCTCCCCCTCTGCCTCCTATTTTTACTTGATAGTGTTGGTTGCCGCGTCTCCTACTACCGCTCCTACGACGACGATGACTGCAATAGTAATGTTGAATCCCAACTAGTCTGGGAGTCTTATGTGAAGATTTTCAGCAGTATCCCAAGTTCATTTCGGAGGGCCCAGATGAATTAGAGCTTGTCTGTGCCCAAGAGAAGTTATGTAGATGAGGCCTGGCTTTACAGGCAGGATCCTGAAGCACTTCTTCGATCAGGCCAGGCAATCAAGTACTCCAGCAACGCTGAACCTTAATATCAAATTCATCTCGGGAGGGCTCAATCATGCTAAGTATTTTTGGTTGGCTAATTCATTGTGAAATCAGACAGTTATTGGCTTTGAACGTCCGACCCTGGAATATGAAGGCCAAGATCTATTACCGAGGGCTCAGACCTTCCTGTTCTCTACGAAGCCAAACTAAACTGAACTACCCCCTTCCCTGGAATCTTCATAATAGGAGGAGAGACCCGGTAAGAGTGTCTTTTTTTTTTGCTCCGCGTGTTTTTTTGTTCTGTGTGGTTTTTTTCTGCCTTTTTGTTCTGCGTGTTTTTTTGTCTCTTTAGAAAACGATGCAACTCACGCAAAACATGCCCAGGCATGTTTTTTTTTGTTCTGCATTTTTTGTGTGATTTTTTGAGAAAAAACCGA